ATTGAGCTGTATGACTTGGGAAGGGTTCTAGGGAGCCTTCATGCTGCAATGGTTAAGGTCTGTGATTGGAATTCACCAGCCACTCCCTGGGAGAAAGATGTGGCAGTTGGCTTCCCTAAAGATCACAGCCTCGGGGCACTTCTATGCTGGCCTGTAGGGTCCCAGCGAGTGGGAATCGACCCAACTGCACTGGGTTGTGTGGAGTCCTGATGTGGCATCGTAGGACAAATACTGGACCGCTAACCCTAAGGTCGGCGGTTCAAACCCTCCTCAGAAACCCTATACAGGGTCGCTTTGAGTTGGAAGTGACTCGACGGTACTCTACAAAAGCAGTATAGTTCCCTGAGTGGAAAGGCAGGCTAAGGGGAACACCACCTTTTCACACTGGAAACCAAACAGACTTTTCAACTCAGTAAGTGACCCACGTGCAACAAGGGGCCTGTTTTCTCTGGGGACCCAACGAGCTGGCCGAACCGCCTGCCCCTCTCTTACCAGTTATTGTGAGGTCAGTTGACTCATAGCAACCCCATGTGTGTCAGAGGAGACACATAGGGTTTTCAATGGCTGACTTTTTGGAGGTAGATCTCCAGGGCTTTTGTCCCCAGGTACCTCTGGTTAGACTCAAATCTCTAACCTTTCAGTTTGCAATCAAATGCTTATCTACATGCACTACCATAATGGAATGCCCTTCCATTAGGGAGTTATTTTAACACAGAAAGTCACAGCTGGGAGATGTTTGCAGACCATCCAGGGTAACCCCCTCTAAGGGATGCATACCAGAGGCCCAGGGAGAGGAAAGGACTGGCCCATAGCCATCCTGAAACCCAGGGGCAGAGATCACTCCCAGGGCCCCATCCCACTCACTCAGGGATCCCCAGGGCTTTTCATAATTGCCTTTGTCTGCTGAATGACTGAGAAACCATTTCTTATCCTCATCGCCCTCAAATGGAGGTGAGGAGGCTCCAGAAAAGGGGCCAGCTTCTGCTTCCGTTCCCTTCCCTCATGGGGTACTTATAGTGAGGATACATTCTGAAGACCACTCAGGTCAGACAGAGCTGGAGGAAGACAGTGGTCCTTGTTGGATCCATTAACTGGCTTTTTTTTTTGGGGGGGGGGGTTGGAGGAGTGTCCCAGCTTGGTACCTTGGTACCCTTCCAGCCCTAGGGCGGCCTGGCCTAGGTAGGTAGCCTGGAAGTGTGGGAAGGGAGAACAGGGAGGAGTCAGTCCTGATCACATGGTGTTTGGCAGGGCGAGGGTGCTAGCCCAGTTCCCACCCGCCCTGACTGGGCTGGGCCATGGGCCGAGTGGGCAAATGTATGAACTCGCAGCCACACAGAGTTCTGTCCTAGTTCTCCCTTCTCCCCCGCCTCCTACCCCGCCTGGAAAAAAACCACAGGACCTAGCTCCAAGCTTGACACAGAACAGAAGGGAGAGGAGTAGGAAGATCAGATAGGAATCAAGTTGCTGGCTTGAGGGTCCCCTTAACACAGGAGCACAGAGCTGTCTCTGAGATATCAGCTGCAGGGCCACGGGTTGCACCTAGTTTAAAGGTACATCATGAGTGGATTTCAGGGGGCTGTGAGCCTTCTGCTGAAATTGTGTGAGCAAAACTGTGTGCATGTGCCCTGTTGCCTCATCATGGTTCCAAAAGGGTCTATGACCCAAAAGAGGCAAAAGACCCTGGTGCCCAGCTGGCGCCAGCTGCTGGACAGGGGTTCAGAGAGTAAGGCAAGGGAGATGGAGGTAATTTTACTGACTGGTGCTGTGAAAAGGAGAAACCAGCTTATAGGTCATGGGTGGAGGAGAGAGTAGGACACCCTGAACCCCGAGCCCTGGAGTGAGGCTGCTAAGGGTTCAAATCTTTGTCTTTGCCACTTATAAGCTGTGTGACCTCAGGCAAGTTACTTCCCTCTCTATTTCAATTTTCCATCTGTAAAATGAGGATGAATGACAGAACCTTCCTCATGTGGTGACACTTGGCCTGGGACCTAGCACACAGTAAGTGCTCAACAGTTCCTCATTCCAGGAGAGCCCATGCATGCAAGCCACTTCACCTTGTTCAGCCAGCACCAAAAGAATGGAATGAATTTCCCTTTCCTGGGCACCATTTTTCCTCTGTAAGGAAAGGCTGGTGTGGACTCAAGATCCCTTACTGTTGTCAGTCCACCAAGTGTCCATGGATCAATCCACTGAGGGTAGAGTGGGGTGACTCTGCTGGGGAGAGGTCCCATCTCTACAGCTTGCCCCAAAGGACCTCTCCCAGGAAGCAACTCCTCAAGAGGGCCCAGGGCCCTCTCAAACTCTCCTGCCAAGCCCATCTACAGTCTGCATAACCTATGAGTTGGACCCTGTTTGGTCCAAACCCGATCATGAGGGGACATGGCGGGGGTGGGTGGGGAGGAAAGTGACGCCTTGCCCAGGTCACTAGAGGGGTCCAAAGTAGGTGGGTAGGTAGAAGAAGAACAGAACTTTTCAGAGCAAATGCAGTTATGCCTCTAATAACTCTTTAGTTGCTGATTCTTGAGATGGTCCAGATCTGAGGCAGGGGCTAGGGCAGTAGGCAATAGCTATTTCCACCCTGTTGTTGTTGTTAACTGACATAGAGTCGGTTCCGTCTCACAGTGACCTATTACAGGATTTCCAAACAGCAGCTGGTGAGTTTGAACCACTGACCTTGTGGTTTACAGTTTAGTGTTTATCCTACAGTGCCACGCCAGGAGTCCGATTTCCATGCTATGGAGAAGTATTTCAGTATTTTAATAACCAGTGTTGTTACTGTTGTTAAGTGCCATCAAGTCGGTTCCGACTCATAGTGACCCATATATGTATATGGAGTCCTGGTGTGGCGCTGTGGGTTAATGCGCCAGACTGCAAAGCCGTTTGAATTGCGAGGCCGGTGGCTCAAGCTCACCAGCTGCTCCTCAGAAACCCTATACAGGGTCGCTATGGGTCAGAATCGACTCAACGGCACTTCACACACACACACACAAAATATATATAATATCTGTATAATGTTTCCAAAGAGCAGCTGGTGGACTTGAACCTCTAGTCTTATTTTATAGTATGACACCAGGACTCATAATATATAAATATAACTATATATTTATACATACACATGAATGAGATTCAAAAATTCATGGGAAAAATAGAGTGAAAAGATAATTGAATTTTTCCACAAACTTTTTGAAGTCCCCTTCTATATACACGCATATGAAACAAAACATTTGCTATTTCAGCATTTTTTTTGCATGTACAATTCAGTGAGATTAGTCATATTCATCATATTGTACAGCCATAACTGCTATCCATTTCTAAATTTTTCCATCACCCTTAACAGAAGCTCAGTGTCTATCTAAGCATGAGTTGGCTTTTATAAGCAGAAGATAAATGACTGAAAATCATATTCACGGAGGGACCGGTGCATTGGCCTCCACATAGAGGCCTTGGGGATACAGCAAGGAGAATGTAAGACTAGGTCTCTCCCATCCGGTTGTTTCAGGTCTGGTTGGCAAGAAAAGTTGGTGATGGAGATAATGAGGTATTTGTTGGTCCCAGGCTGTTGTGTGGGTGCCTGGGACCAGCTGTGGGGTGCCATGAAGCTAACAGGCTCATAAGAGAGCAGGCAGTACAAACCCTCATGTCCATGAGAGGATGCTGTGACCGTAATGACAGCATTATCCCACCCAGGACCCAGGTCTGCCAGACAGCCGTGAACTCAGAATCTGTGAGGCTGGCTGTTTCAGCTTTAGACCTGGACTGTCCAATACAGCAGCCACTGGCCACAAGTGGCTTCTGAGCACCTGAAATGCTGTTAATTGAAAGTGAGATCTGTTGGAAGTGTAGGTAGATGGCAAATTTTAAAGACTTAAGACAAAATACCAAATTTACGGTCTATTCCAACTCACGGCAACCACTGGTGTTACAAAGTAGAACTGTGCTCCACAGGGTCTCCTTGACGGTAACCATTACGGACACAGATCACCAGGCCTTTTTTCCATGGTGCTGCTGGGTGGGTTCGAAACGACAACCTTAAGGTTACACATTAAGGTCCAATCATTTGTACCACCAAGGGATACTTTTTGAAGATATAGTATGAAAAAAAGGGGATAAAACATCTCCTCAATATTTTCATATTGATTAAATGCTGACATAACAGTCTTCTGAGCATTAATTGTATTAAGTAAAATATATGATTATAATTCATTTTGCCTATTTCTTTTTACTTTGAATGTGACTACTAAGAAATTTTAAATTACATATGAGGCTGACATTATATTTTCATTTGACAGTGCTGAGCTAGATGTCCCAGAATTCACTGTGGTAAATAGAACCTGCCACAGAGCAGTCATTCTGGGCACCTCTCTTTTGTCAAAGAATAAAAGCCTAATCACAAATTCCAACAGGGAGTGTATGGTTTCCTGTAGTTTCAGACTGTTAAACACATCTTCCCCAAATGCCCTTCTCCTGTACTCACTGCTATTTATCCTCCGAGGCAGCTCAGGTGTCACCTCCTCCAGGAAATCCTCCTTGGCCACCTGATGTGACCAGATCGGCTGCCCCTGTTCTGACTTACATTCTAACTGTCTGTTTACTCATCTGTGTCCAGCCCTAGGCAGTTATGGGAGCCCAAGGGAGCTCCTTGAGAGCAGCACCTTGGAATCCTGGCGCTAATGCAGGACTTGGCTCAGTCATCAGGGATTATAGAATATGAATCCTGCTTAGCTGGAGGTACCCACTGGTGCATCTCCTCTGTATACAAATTCTCCATAACTTCTCCTTGGGGTTCAGTCCTAGAGGAGCTGACACCATGAATCCCAACTTTCCTGTGACGGGACAGCCATACTTCCCTCCAGCAGCCATCCTGGGTTGGCATCAGGAGACAATGGGAGTTGAGGCTGCTGTCCATCAATGCCAGGGAAGGTGGGGCTGCCTCGTGTGTGGCAGCTGCAGGTGTCTCCGCCTAGAAGAGACCACCAGAGCCTGGAGCAGACAGTACTCACCAGTGGGAGGAAGGTCAGCAGAGGCCGGACTCTTGGCCGAGCTTTCAGAGTGGCTGTCCCAGATTCACTCACTGTGTCAAACCGATTGTCTCCATAATAGATTCCATCTAGGGGAGACAAGTGTGGGAGAGTATGAGCTGAAGGTCAAAGGCGTCTGGGCCAGTCAAGCTTAAGCTGCAGTTCTCAGCTGAGGGGCGTCAGGCCCTACGATTGCCCTCTGGTTGATTCAGCTAAGTGCATCACCAGACATAAAAAGATCCCCTGGATTGTGGGGTTGGGGAGGCATGTGCTACAGGGTCTGATTGAGGCTGGGCAGTGGAGGACTCAGACCCCAGCAGCTACCTCCCTTCTGATCCACCTCCCACAGGTCCTGGGCCTTGTTTACCATGAACATTGCCTCTCCTTTTGGAACCCTGAGAGCTTGGCCAAAGCCCCTTTCTCGGCCCCAGTCTAAGCTTATCTTTGAGAGAGGGAGGAAAACAAGTTGGCTTTTCTCTCAAGTATTTGAATTTCTAATTTGCAACAAGCAGAGCTGATGAGGCCACTTACTGCCCTCAGTGATCAAGACTGTCCAGAGTTCTCAAATGTCAGATTTCACCAGTTCCCAAAGTGCCAAAGTTGAAGGAATGTGTATAGCTCTGTGTGATGCACCCTTGAAGGCAAGCAGAAGCAGGATTGTAGTAAATATCCCAGCTGTACCACTGACTGGCCACTCTGGCCTCAGCTTTACCATCTGTACAATGGAAGTGATTACAGTGTCAACCTGATAAGACTCTTGTTAGGAGAAGTGTGAGAAGTAAGTGTGGCTGGCACACAGTTAAGCGCTCAATGCACATAGGCCCTTCCCTATAGGAAAATGATAGAACTTTCCTCTTTCTTTAGTATGTTCCAGGGTGATGCAAATGGTTAAGCACTCAGCTACTAACTAAAAGGTCAGCAGTTTGAAACCACCCAGGGATACCGCAGAAGAAAGGCCTGGCAATCTACTTCTGAAAGAGCACAGACTGAAAACCCTACAGAGCACCGTTCTACTCTGAAACACATGGGGGTGCAATGAGTTGCAACTGGTACTGGTACTTTCTCTATTATGGCCTAGAAGCAGACCTCACTGTGAGCTTCTGACTAGGCTGATCATGATCAAACAGGGAAGACTTCATCCATTTAGCCGGGTGTGAGGGCCTTTCTCCTCCTCTAGAGGAGCCCTGGTATGGGCTGTGAGCTAATGTGCTGGACTGCAAAGTTGGTTGAACCGCAAGGTCGGCAGTTCAAGTTCACCAGTCACTCCATGGAAGCCCTATACAGGGTTGCTATGGGTCGGAATCGACTCAACAGCACTTAAAACAACAATAACAACAGACAACCAGAGAGGAAAGAGAAGGACGGTCTGCAGCCCAATTAACCAGAATCCTACCAGCTGTAACACTGAACTAACTGTGGTTACTTTCCCCTTGCACACTACTTTAGGAGAAAATTGCAAGAATGCCAAATGATTCATTAGAAAAGAGACTGGGCTTGTCAGGGAAATGGTGGGGTCAGAATACAATCACCCCAGCTTCCCAGCCCTGTATGTGAGAATCTAGGCTTAGAATGTCCCCCTAGAGGCTCCTGGGAACACTCGGGAATGGGAGTTAAAAGTCCTATCAGTGCAGAAAGTTGACTGGTACATCTGGTACATTCAAGACTCTCAACCTCCTGAGTAGAATTTGAGTCTCATGGAATCCAGATTTTCTGGAGTCAGAGAGGCCATATTGTGAGAAATTCTCAAGATGGTCCATCTTCAGGAATCAAGGGTGGACGAGATTGCTAGAGCAGACAGACATAGGTTGCTGATTCACCCCTAGGGGCATGTGAGCAGGATGAATTGGGGGGAAAGAAATCTGTTCTATGACTGCAGTGGTGGTGGTGGTGGTGGTGGTGTGCTGTGGAGTCGGTTCTGACTCATAGCAACCTTGTATAGGGTTTCCAAAGCTGAAAGTCTCATCTTTCTCCTGCTGGAACCACTGGTAGTTTTGAACTGCTGACCTTGAGGTTAGCAGCCCGACTCATAATCATTATGCTACCAGAGCTCCTTGTTCTATAACTAGGAACTTTAAATAAGAATACAGTCATTAAGGCCATGGACACCATCTGGGATAGATAGTGAACCTCATACTAACTGGGGGAGGGACTCTCAAAACAGGGGAATAAAATTCTTTGCAAACTGGCCATACAATGTGTCAGCATGTATCTACTGGGTTGGGTGCCCAATTTTGCAAAATCAAATAAAGAAAACGTCACTCTCACTAAAATTAGTACAGATTGGATTACTTGCACGTTTGTAGGTAAGCACTTGTGATAACTCATTGGTGACCTCATAACCAAGAAGAACCGAGGCAGTATCCAGGGTATCGACAACGTTTCTCACAATATGCCCCTTCCCCTCAAATCCTTACCCTGAGGAAATCTTTAAACCTTGAACTGAAACTATCCCCTGAAGTCATCTTTGAACCAACTAACAGGTTAGCCTAGTTAGAAAAGACTACCTGAACTCAATTTATACTTTTAAAATTAAAGAATTACTGTTATGTGATCAAATTGACAACAACAACTTGAAAGGATAGATGGGAGCTTACCAGGGCAGTGATGGTGAAATAATTTGGAAAAGGTTGTTGAGAAAGGTTAA